TTTTTAGTTCCTGTCAACACTTTCGTGTTATTTTGATCACCCCCTTGAGCAACTTGCACCAACAAAACCAGACTTTACAATTATTTCTGGGAAAATTGCAAATATGATTCTGTAAGAGACATAACAAATTTATTTTCACCTAAGAGAATACTGTATGGGAATTGAAGAATGAGAGGAGAAAGGGGGAAATTACAGCATCAATCCTACCAGAATTACAACAGAAGAGATCATTTCCAATGTAGAAGTTGGCATACAAAAACCCGATTACTTCGTGAGACACATCCGCTGGAGAACAACTTGCCGCGATCGCAACGACTACCTCTTAGGATGCTTAAAGACGATAAGGAAATAGTGATTCTACCTGCTGAAAAAGGAAACGCTACCGTAGTCCTGAACAGAGTAGACTATCAGACAAAATAGAAGAACTACTGGACCCTGCCACATATAAAGCCATCCGCAATGACCCAACGTGGAGATTCCTGAGAAAAACTAGTCTACTCATTAAACAGTCGTCGTTACCCCCTGAGGTGAAAAAATCGCTAGGTAAATCAGAAAAAAAATGCATTAGCCATTTGTCCTCCTTAGAGCTATTGCGATCGGGTCACCTACTTATCAACTAGCGAAACATCTAACGAACATGCTCCAGCCTCAAATAGTAGTGTCACTTTTCACAAATATCCCACTAGACCTATCACTGGATTACCTGAAGTAAGTTTTTCCAGGGGATATCCTGACCTTGTTTCGACACACCCTAACAATTACATATTTCCAGTGGAACAATCAATTTTATGAACAAACTGACGGCGTCGCAATGAGAAGTCCGCTAAGCCCGGTAATGATGATACCTTCGCGGTATGGAGCCACGGAAGAACAGAACTAGCAGTGTTCACCTTAACAGCATTCACCCCATAATCAAACTCACATTGGAGATAGAAGAGGACAATCAACTGGACTTCCTAGATGTATTGGTGGTCAGACGAGAGAACTTAAAGCTGGGTCACCGGGTTTACTGCAAAGCAACAAACACTGACAGATATCTACACAAGGACTCCAACCATCATCCTGGGCAAAAAAGAGGCGTCATTAAAAATATGATAGACAGGGCACATCGAATTTGTGAAACTCAATACCTGCAGGGGGAACTGGATTATGTTAACATGGTTTTACAAGCAAACGGCTATCGCAGGGAACAAATAGAACAGGTTTCACGACAAAAATGCAGACGGCAGGCAGGAGGCAGGAACCACCTGCGGGAGTCTCCTTCCTACCTAACATTAAAAGCATCATAGATGGAATAGGAAGGTTGCTGCAGAAACACAACATCAAGACCATCTACAACCCGACAAATAAAAACCAGCAACTCCTAACATCAGGGAACCCCTGAGCGGTGCCGGCGTATACAGAATACCGTGTTCCTGTGGTAAAGTATACGTAGGCACCACTAAACGTAGCTTCCAGGCACACATCAAGGAGCATGAGAGAAAATGTCGACTGGGACAAACTGATGAATCATCGGTTGCCGAACACGCACTCCAAGACGGTCACAATGATCTGTTCGACCAAGCTCAAGTTCTATCAACATCCACCCACTACTCAGCCTGAATGTACAGAGAAGCAATTGAAATCTGCAAACACAATGTTAATTTCAATAGAAAAGAAGAAGTCCTTGCTTTAAACAAAACGTGGTTACCAATTCTAAAAAACACGGCGCAAAAGCCACGTCACTCAAGAGACCCATAGTACCCCCACCAGACGACTCAGTCCTCAGTCCACCGACCGCCTATAAAACCGCACGCTCCTCCAGTTAAGCGAACAGTTTCAGTCGAACCGCCAAGCCGAGCAGTTCGCTCTCACTGACAGCGCCACTGAAGATGGCTACTGCAGAGTTAGCCGAAAGCTCTGGACCAAATCCAACCCGACCACGTCTCAACAGCTCGAAAACCTAAGTTATATGTACGGCAATTGTCAACACAGTAAATCCTAAGACTAAAAATAAAGGTAATATTAATAAAGTTTCCTGATAAAACTACAAAAACTGTTCTCCAACAGATAACTTTTGAGTTCTCAAAGGATTTTTTTTTCTTGTGTACTACCCACTAATGGAAATCTGTTTTTATAGTTGAACACGTATAAACATAATTTTTAAATATCTGGCCACGTAAGAGTAAACATTCTTAAAATCATAAAACTCACTGTTAGGGATACCAGCAATACTTCTAACACTCCTCTTCTGCGCATCGAAAATATTCAGAGCATGGGTGCAACTACCTTATAAGGAAATTCCATAACAGAGTCGAGATTTGACCTGGGCGTAATCAAATGAGATGATTTGAGGTGTGGTAAATATTGTACGTAGGTTTCTAAACATGAAATTAAGCGAATTTAATTTAGTATCAAACTCTCACGTTTGAAATGACTAACCGATCTAATGGCAGTTGAAAAGTAGAGAAAAAGAAATCCATTTGGTAAAAGATTTTAAATACAAGCTGTTCATAGGTTTTACTGTTCCAAGCTACCGTCGCTTGTACGAGGTAAACAAACCTAGGCGGGGCGGGTTGTAAACATCCTATATACGTACCTCCTTATACTGACGCACGTCGCACCTTTTCACCTAATCTTTTATTTGAAGAAGTGCCTGATCTGATATCGCAAATTTATTTAGAATCTAATAGCCCGGTTATCTTGTGATTTTAGTGTATATGTTACTAGCAAGATTTGATATTTTTACAAGAACGCTGTACAGAGGAGAGTCCAACTCCAAGAACATCCCGTATTTTTATTTGTTACCTTTGACCAGTACGTGTGAGTATGGTAATCGCTTTGCACTTGTCTGGTATAGCGCAGCTGCTTTGAAACTAAACGCAAAGAAAAACTGAAACATGTGCTTTTGATGTCTTTGTCGCAAAATGAAAGTGACTATAAGTTTTTCTGTCCAGCCAGCAGTGACTGCACATAAAGGGGGATCCTGTGAATGGACATCTCATTGGACGATGTGAAAAGGTGGGATTAAAAATAGTCGACGTTTTTGCATGCAAATAGGTGCCTGAGGGTTTCAGAAAATTATTTTAGATGATGCTCGGGGGTAAACTGGGTCAGACGCGAGAGTATTCACTACATAAACTGCTCCGGATATAATGGCGGTAAGAATCATCCTTATCCGCATAGGCGTTGCTGCTAAAGGTGAATACACAGTAACGTTTCTAGTCGACCTGAGGACTCAAATTGATAACTGCCTTCTTACGTAAAAAGAATGTTTTATAGCAATATGTGTGCAGTTTCTTAGTCTACATATCACACTTTTCGAATTAACATATACCATTTTCTACTGATATGCACTGTTGTACTATTTAAGCGGCATTTGTTATTCGAGCGTTCTGCTGGGCACTTCAATAACTTTCTCTCTTTCATCCGGTCTTTTGATAGGAAAATGATTGCAAACTGTTTTAACTGTGCACCAAGAAATTTATATATATACAGGGTGACTTCAAAGTTGAGTCATTTATTTTAACAGTGAGTAGATCTGATCAAAAGAAACGTTTTTTTCCTTTACCATTTTTCTGGTAAAATTAAAGTAACAAAGTTATAGCCCTCTGGAAGTTTGAGTACCGCCCTGTCTCAATAATATCATGTGCTCGTGTTTGGCAACAACGGATATAATCCGCCTTCATCGGATCGCATCGGAAACAAAAAAGCGAAGGAATTTGGAACGATGTTTTTACAATTATGTTATTCAGTTCAGTTATACATATAGTCAGTGTCAGTCGCGTGTGAATAGTGTCGGTTGCGTGGCTCAAACGAAATAAAAAATGGCACATGTTTATGCGGATCGGTTTCCCAATCGAGTGCAACCAACCCCTCGTGCCTTTGTTAATGTAGTACAACGGGTTCGTGAATCAGGTGACTTAAGACCTCACAGGGGACCTCACGATCAAATACAGGTCCGCACTGAAATACTTGTCGGGAGGATACTTTATAAAACAAGGTAAACGTTTTTTTTTTAATTTTTTTTTATTTTTACACACATATTTTGGTTTATCTTCCTTCTACAATCATTATCTGAAAATTAATGACTCAACTTCAAAGTATATAGGTGAAAAATTAAAGCTTCCGCCTTTTGTTGGGTACTTCGACAAAATTTAAGCAAAGAGGACTCTTTATACTTTTTTAATTCTCTCTAGCTTTCAATGGACATTGCCATCATCATCAGGAGCTGCAACGATAACAGTAGCAACAAAAGTGTAAAATGAATTTAAATTGACTCAACTTACAGTAGTATGTGAGGATGTTGCTAATTGTTGTTTACGTATAGGATGAGGGAAACGTCCAGTAACATGGTGAGAGCTGGATAGATGGTACAATGGTCAAAATTATATAAAATATGACAAGAACAAGTTAAAAACAGATTAAAAATTATTTAAAAACATTAAAGCATATCATCGTGAAGCCACTTGATGATTGCACAAAATGGTGGTCATGGAATAATGAGTGAGATGAACCCTTTGACAGAAGGCCGAAGGTTGTCAATGTCTGTGTTGAAACACATCCTCACATACTACTGTAAGTTGAGTCAATTTAAATTCATTTTACACTTTTGTTGCTACTGTTATCATTATAATTGCAGCTCCTGATGATGATGGCAAAGTCCATTGAAAGCTAGAGAGAATTAAAAAAGTATAAAGAGTCCTCTTTGCTTAAATTTTGTCGAAGTACCCAAACAAAAGGCGGAAGCTTTAATTTTTCACCTAACTGGTCTAGACGACAATGACCACGTCTCAAGGTATATATATATATATATTGCTTTTTGTTAACATATGTATGTGCATATCAACATACACGGTATCTTTTTTACGCTGTTTTTTCTTTTGTAATCCCTCTTTGAATTTCTCATAGGAGCCATTTGGAACATCGGTCGGTTTGGACGACTCTGTATTTTACGCTGTCTCTGGTTAAATTTTAAAGCTATTGTTCCGGGGTTTCATTTTCTCCGGAATATAGCGTTTGTAGCATCATTTATTCACGCTAGGGTCACGCACAGGCAAAGCAAACATAATACCTGTGAAACTAAATCTGTAGTCTGCTATTTTTCTTGTTCGTGAGCGGTCAACATGTGAGAAAAGTGTTTTTCTGATGATCATTTGAACTAATCTCTCTCACATATGCAAAGGAACTGCTCAGCATAGGTACAAAGCTTTGTTACCCATGCCTTCTTGTACATATTGAAGCCATCAAATCAAGGATTTTGTCCACGTTTATATGGATGTTAGTGTGGAAATTCTTCAAATTTGACCACAAAAGAGTATATCCATGAATTTGTATGAAGCATCGTAGTCCCCAAAAGGGTGTAGCGATGTTGTTCGTGCTTGAAACGTGACGAGGCAAGATTTTCATTTCCCTTTTTAATTTGGAAATTAAATAATAATAATAATAAAAACGTTTGTTGAGAAACAACTCAGAAGGAGAGGGTATTGTATAAACATTTTTCAACCCTTCCGTAAACATTAACATAAATAGATAAATTGCGAAAGAATATATTAATAATAGACGTGAGCCAAACATAGTTAGATAACATAGTGAGCACATTACAACCGGCATATAAAAGTACATTCTACACTCAAACTGTATTAATGGACCAGTAAATAACTATAGAAAAAATGTATAAATAGAGAGAGATAAGTTCATACCGTTAAATAATAGATGGAACTTGTGATTACAGTACATGCAACTGACACATTTTGTTTTAGTTGAAACAAAACGCTTCTACCACGCAGTGCTATTAGGTTCTATGGGTGTACAAAAAATATAGTGAGGTTCTACAGTAGATCATATAGTTTAAAATTCTCCAGGATCCGCAATACGGTGCCGTAACCTGAGCGCAAGCACTTTGTTATGTTGGGGTTCACATTACACTGTAGACTTTGGAATTGGTACATTGGACACTGCACAAGCACATGTTCCACCGATAAAGGAGTGTTGAGTGTTGATTGATGGCTGTGGGTGAGCAGGGTATGTCTGATGCGAGGTCTGGTGAGGACGATTTGATCTCTTCTATTTTCTGGGACATCGAGTTTAGTGCCGATTTTGGGCAGTATTCCGCGGAGCTTGCTTGGTGTAGAGATCCATTGTGTTTGCCACTGATTTTGTATGAATTCTCTGATGAGCGCTTTAAGATCGTGGTATGGGGTGTTGTGCATTATGGGCGCGTTGTTGGAGTGAAGGTAAACGAGGTTTGTACGTTTTAACAACCCTAACATCTACAATTTCCGCCATCATCGTTTGCCCACCTTTCGTTACGAAGCTGAGTATGCTACTGACCACACTCAGAATTTTTGAAGGATATGCTTCATATTCCAAGTATAAGGTGAAGATTATGAATATTCTTTTACTTATGTCACTGCTTTGAAGGATATGCTCATACTCAAAAAGCAAAAGCGTTTACTTCAAATTATTATAAATACAATCTGGAGGATTTTCTTCAAAATTTGCAAGTACAAGGATATCCTTTGTTTTATGAATACGGCTCAATGTCACTTTTAAAGATAGGTAATACCCATGCGCTACGAGAGTATCATGATGTTAAGAAAATCCATTTAGCCGTTTTAAGATGACAGCCAGGGAGTGAGCACGAATTTAGGACTTAATCGTTCAAGAAGGTACCATGATTGACGGTGAGGCATACTACTAATATTTAACTTATGGTTTATTATGGCTGCGTCTCGAATCTTTATCTCAAGCTCATTCTTCTACGGTTTATAGTTGGGTATTTGACTGTCTCACATGAGAACCCAACATCAAAACCTATTGACGTTAACTAACGTTAACAGCTGCATTGCATCACGTAGTTGGTGTATAAGGTGAATTACATGGTTCAGTTTTTTCTTTTAAAATGAAGGTCTATATGATTTTCAACCGAAAAAATATTTTATTAATGGGTTAAAGCAATTAAAATAATTGTCTAGAAAAATGCATAATTGCTCACCAAACCTACCTATATGAATTGTATGCCAAATAATTCAAGGTAACTTACCTTTTCTGCACAGGATAGAAGATCAATATTCCTTATCACAGTTTTAGTATCGTTTCTTTTGGTAGTGACACATTTTTTATACATAGAAAAACCTTTTGCATGATATTTCATTAGTCCGTAACATACGCTTAAAAAAAAGAGTATGATGGTAATAATTGTATAACCTAGAGATAACAAAAGGAGGTTAATTTAGGTCACCGGGCCATGGATCTTATTCGACTTGTCAATTCTTACTTTCAGCACAACTTTTAGATACGTTCAATGACACTCTGACCTATAATAGGGTCACTGCATGCATGTGAGAATAATTTTTGCTGTATATAAGTAATTCTGGTATTAAACGCAATAGATAATATTGAAAAGTATTTCCTCCATTTGAGTTATTGTTATTCTCAGAGCCCCAACCTGAGCGCACAGACGATTTCTTGCTTACGTCACGATACCCCATAAGGGGCTGTGGCATGCTGCCCTTCTAAACAAACCTCCGACCTGCGGCTTGAATGAAACGCTATGCGGAATTTCATCGTAAGGTCTCTACTGAAGTAAGTCATTTGTCAGGAGGTGTTAACCGCAATAGCGGATTGGTGCGAAGGGGAAGGAATGTCAATCAACCCGCAAAAAATGGTCATCGTACCTTTCATTAGAAAGAAAAACTGGATGGAATTAAACCTACAATAATCCAAGCTGAAAATGTACCATTTGCAAAAAAGCGAAATATCTACGAATAATCTAGACTGGAATTCGCATCTAGAAGCAGTCCTTAAGAAGGCAAGGATCTCGCTATTGGACTGCCGAAGGCTCTGTGGTAAGAACTGGGAAATGAAGCCTAAGCAAATGTTTTGGCTTTAACCACGATTATTAGACCTATGATAACCTATAGATCTGTAGCTTGGTGGTGCAAGCCAGCACGATGAACTGTCCAAGTCAAACTGAGCGTAATACAGAGTAAATCTTGTAAGTTGATCACTGGTGCCTTTCGTACCACACCAACTGAAGCCATGAAGGTCCTTCTTAATTTACCCCCCTTGCACATATACCTGGAAGGCGAGGCAAGAAGGACATGCTGGTGAGCTTACAAAACCACCCCGGTCTGGGAATGCCTTCTGATATAATGCCAAAGATAACAAACAAGATATGCTAAACCATATTCAGTGACAATTCCACACAGGTTCCACACAGGAATGAGTGGGAACAGCGAGTTAACCTGATGAGGAAAGATATCTGTGCATACACAGATTGCTCTAAGACCGAGGTAGGTGTTGGAGCTGGTATCTTCGTGCCGAAGCGTAAGATTAAAGTATCTGTTATCCTAGGCACCTGGGCATCGATCTTTCAGGCAGAGCTATATGCTATAGAACTGGGTGCAAGAGTGATCGCAGAACGACCTCGGAGATACAGAACTATAATTATTTTTTCAGATAGTCAAGCCGCACTTAAAGCACTTGACCCCACCTACTCGACATCTAAATTAGTGTGGAATTGTAAAGAAACTCTCGGTGACATAGGGGAGGGAAATGAAGTCGGTCTCATATGAATACCAAAACACACAGGTCTAGAGGGAAACGAGACAGCTGACACTCTGGCAAAGAGTGGGGCTAGCATACCTTTTAAAGATCCTGAGCCTGCGATTGGGATCGCACACAATACGGCTAAACAAATAGTCTCTGCAGAGATGGACAGAAAGATCCATGAATATTGGGAGGGATTAGCAGGGTTAACCCATGCTAAGACAACTATACCAATCTTGACAAAGAAGGAAACATAATATTTGCTACCGCTGAACAGGAATAGCCTTAAAGCTCTAGAAGGACTGTACGCTGGTCATTGCAAATTCCATCACCACATGAGCAGGCTGGGCATGACGGAAGACGCGGAGTGCAGACTGTGCATGGAGGGAGATGAAACGGTCAGGCATGTATTGTGCAGATGCCCTGCAATTGCCAGAATCAGGTACACCATACTCCAAGCAGAAGTCCTGAAGGATATTTCTCCAAACAAGTTGATCGACTTCCTCAGGAGGTCGGCGCTACTGGGGGAAATATAAATAGATGTGAGCGACAATAGACCAAAGAGTCGCAGTGGAGGATTGTAATTGGCGCACTCACAAGAAACCTATCCTAACCTAACCTAAGTCATTTTTGCACAGGGATCGGCCGTAGATCCAATATTATTTTTGCTTCAGATCAAGGGTCTTATTTCAAGCACAATAAATCCGGTTCTCGCTGCTTTGCGGATGACAGCACCCTGCACTCAGGGCGTGCCGGTACTTAGGTATTACCTTTGTATCTATTTAGGTGAGAAAAAGAGGTTTGTGGTAAGGGATGTGATTTTCGTTCTCCAGCTCATTAGCTTACACGTTCCCATTGAAAGAGTTTTAGTTTAGCGTCAAAAGGAAGTGGGGTCGGTCAAAGTAGCTTCCTTCTACGTACGTCCATCTATTTAGAGGCAACCAAGCTACACCAAGGGCTCAACGAATAGGTATCTCAAACCTCCGGCCATGGATTCTAGGCTGTTTCACTTTGGACAGAGGAAACAGAAATTGTAAAATTTTGACAACCTTGCTTTCCTTCCCAGTCTCCAACTTGGAATATATGTATAGCAAATTTCGAGCAGATTAGTTTGGAGGTTGCATGGTTTGATCACTTTTATAAATATAGGAAAAAATACAAAATTCTGTCTTATGATATTTATATGGGAAACTAGGAATCACAAACTTAGAATAATAATAACACTTAATGCTAAGATTGACATGCACTAGTGAATGAATTAATTTTGTACGACTCCATATTCTATTTTAATTGATTGGGAATGTAAACCAACCTGTTCAGAAGTTGTGGATCTTAATACACTGAGTGACAAACAAAATAAACACCTACGTATGCTTATCCGATTTTAATTTTTTTGGCATATAAGTTCAGTGTCCCTTACTAGTAAAATGATTGAATTTTCAGTTTGATTCGTCTACTGTTTGCAGAATGTGGTGAGGATCCACGATTTCTTATACAATCATTGACACGCCTGGGCATGCTGATAAGGTGGTAGATGTCCTGTTGGGTATCTCACTTCAGGCTACTGCAACTTCGTGAATAAGAGCTGCTAAAGTCTGTGGCAAATTCAAGAGCCTGCGTCCTATCATGTCCGAGACATGTTCAACTGGAGATATGTTAGGCGATCGTGGTGGCCAAGATAAACGGTTCATGTTGATCCATGAAGCCTAACGATGCCCCGGCAACATGCGGTCTGACATTGTCTTGCTGAAAAATCGGGTTTTGGATGGTGTTTAGGTATGGAATAAGATGAGGCTCCACTCCTTCCCGAATACAGCGTCGGGCTGTCATATTGCCTCTGATATAAATTAGTGGTGGTCTGCTACCATAAACAATAGCACCCCATATCATAACTCCCACTGTGTGGTGAACGTGACGCTCTCTGTCAAATTGTGGGTCACGTCTTTCACCACGTCGCCTTCTCACTCTTCCACGGCCATCGTGTATCTCCAGACAGAAGCGGGATTCATCACTAAACACCACCTGATTCCATTGCCGGTCCCATTGAATTCTTTCTCTACACCAGAGCAAACGATTAGGCCGATGTTCTGCTGTGAAAGGTAGCACCCAATGTGGGCGATAAGAAAAAAGGTCAAACGGTCGTGCTCGGCGATATACCGTAGGCATAACATAACTACCATCCTTTCATGCTCTTCAAACGACTGATAAGCGATGGCTCGAGTACTACTGAATCTGTCTCTCAGAGCCAGAAGTCTCAACCGGTGGTCTTGTCGCTCGGCCTTCCTGAGTCCACTCTCGTTCACACTGCAGTATACTGCTTAAGGATCTGTTGTTCCTCCTAGAAACTTCTCTTATCGATAGACCGGCTTCACGCAACCCGACAATTCGACCCCTCTCAAAGTCACTTAGCTGGGACACCCGGCGAATTCCACGCACTCCAGGCATTTTGAACAACCACAAAAAGGCTTCCCAATAAGCGACACGAAATTTAACATTTAACATACACAGTAAATGTACTAAAACTGAACGCTTCTTTATCACCAAGCAATACACGCAGCCACCAACAGAAAAACCTGACAATTTTGTCAATTGTTGATCACGGCAAGATAAATCGATATGTAAAAAATTCTTAAATTCTAATAAATATACGTGGGTGTTTACCTTTTTTTTGGCATTCAGTATATTTCCTGTTTAAAGAACCAAAATCCTCAAAATGAATAATCTGTTCTGGCGGAAAATACGAACCCCGAGCCAGGATCGTCAAGTAGTACCACTTGAGCAACACTATCTAGTAGTAATAATAGTAATGTAATATGGTTGAGTGTTTTCCCTCACTGTTGATTTAAAGGACACCCCGAGATTTCGTGAACAAAACGTGTTTATTTTATTTTGTTGACAAATGTGACATTTCGCGAGCAACGACTTCTTTTGTTTTTTCTCCCATCTTGTGATGATGAACCTTGTCTGGCCGCGACGATGCCGCTGTTAAACATACTTCTTACAGATCATGATTGTTGTATAGCAAATCTACATTGATAGAAATAAAGTACTAGCATCCTACATGCCGAGTTTCCTGGGAAAGGTAGGCATTCCAATCAAATATGGACCGCTAGAAGTATATCTCAGCACTAGTAGTAGTATTGGTAAAATATAGTACGTGATCAAAAAAAGCTGGAATACTGAAAATCTTTGCCTTTAAGTGGTTTGAGTATTTAATGGTTTGAAAATGTCTCGCAAAAGGTGGGATATATATGTTTCGGTGGGCTTCAACTCTACACAAATGATATTGGCAAAAACAGGGTGTAAACGTTATGGTAGACATTATTGAACTGGGTAATAGGGGGGGTCAAAACAAGTCAAAAAGTTCATATGACCCATGGTCCAAAAGTCAATAGATTTTTGTCTAATTGGCTTTATAGTTTACAACTTTAAGTGCTTTATATCGACCACTATCAACACAATCTTACTAATTTTTATAATCTAATACGTTTTTAAATTGGGTAATTATCAAATAAATGGCATTAAGTTTTTCTAAGTTATGCCAAAATTTGTAGTCAGTAAGTTTCATTAAATTAAATATTTAAAACACACATGACAACAGCGCGTCGGCCTTTCATCACTCTTATCGAACCGGCAATCGATCGCAAACGGTAACAGTGGTTAGTTATCGGGCATCGGGCCGCCCCTTAGGACTATCGCATACCTTGCCCATAGAATCCTACGGGAAAGTTTGCTTTATCCCTCACATGTACAACGAGTGCAGGCCTTGTTACCAGAAGACTATCCTCGCAGACTAGCATCCTGTCAGTGATTTTTGCACAAAAACATGGAAAATCCGGATTTTTTTAAAAACATTCTAGCGACGGACGAATGTTCTTATACGCGAGACGGGATATTAAATTTCCATAATACTCACACGTGGGCCCAAGAAAATGCTCATACCATTCGTGAAGGTCATTTCCAACAACGTTTTAAAATAAATATTTGGGCGGGTATTCTTGACGATCAGGTAATTGGCCCTTTCGAGTTACCCCAAAAGTTGTCATGAGAAGGATAGCTTTCTAGCCAATAACCTACCAGAGCTTTTGGAGCAGACCTTAGACAACATGCCATTGTAACGTAGACCGAATTTGTGGTTTCTTAATGACGGGGCACCACCACATATTTTTAGAGGCGTCATTCAATATTTGAATTAACATTATCCAAATCGCTGGATTGGTCTAAATGCTCCTGATCCTCGAAAATGGCCAGCAAGATCCCCTGACTTCAATCCGATGGATTTCTGGTATTGGGGAGAACTTAAAGTGATGATTTATGGGGCTGGTGCAATATCAACTGAAGCACAACTTCGCGAAAATATTTTTAATGCGGCTGAAATAATAAATGGTCAACTTCGAGGACCTAGAGTAAGAAGAAACTGGGTTCGTCGTAATGAAGCTTGTGTGAAAAGTGGAGGACGACATTTTGAACACCTTCTTTAAATACAAAAAAAAAGAAAAACCATGTATGTATCAAAATTGTCTTCCCTATTTATAAGTGGATTTGTTTAATACGTTCAAGAAACTTCCACACCAGGTGAAGCGCCGAGGTAGTTAGTGGTAAGTCCGTTTTTTTAACTGTTTCCATTTTGCGAGTACATTATCAAATAATGAAATAACACCTAATAGCCAAAAATAACAAACTCCATCTTTATTCACACTGCGGTTCGTCGTAATTTGCGTCTGGTATTGCGGCGTTGTCGGATTTTATTTTACTTTAAAGTCGTTTTTCTCTAAAAAAATGTTGTTTTGACACCCATGTTATATGAAACTTTTTGCTTCTTTTAACCCCCTCTACCACCCATTTAAGTAATGACTATCATAACGTTTACACCCTGTATGACAAAAAACTGCTTGAACCGACTGTATCCAGCAAATCACAGAATATTAGAAATATGCTCTTGTGAGACAGCTCCCTCGTCCAGCGTCATTTGGGCACCACTCTTTACATGTAAGGTGTTAACAAGTAAATAACTACTCCATGCCAGGCTTTATTTCGCTATAATAAAGTGTAGGGCTTGACCCTTCAATCATCCTGCTAATAGAAAGATAGTATATATTAGTACAAAACACTTCAGTATGAGAAATTTCACCAGTTTGAGATACCAGTATGTACAACCTGTCAATATTGTCCAATCAAAATGAAACTTGGCATGCACACCATTTGTACCATTGAGATCAGCGTGTTGAGCAAAGTCATGTGAAAATCACAACTACAGAAAAAATAAAAAAATCCTAGCTGGCTCGAATTATCTTTTGCCGCACTTTTGCTGTCCCCCCAAGGCTAAAATAACGTCTGACTTGTGACAATGTTTAACAAGCATGCTTCCTGTCAGCAATCTTACCTCTGTTGAGTACACGTCTTGCTTTTTATGTAGGAATGAACTGCCAAGCTGAAGATGAGTGAAGCAGTTTTTGTAGAAGTTTTTTATCCCGTGCCATACAGTTTAATATTTTTTAGCCAACCGCAGTTTGCAATGTTTTCTATAACCACGGTGGAACAATATTGAAATTCCGCGTGGAAGTTGCATCGAGCTGCATGTTTTTGTTTCTGTGTGCGATGCCGAACGAAGTGAATTGTTAAAATTGGCCAATCAATATATTTTCAATTTATTCTGTCAGTTTAAAGCATCCGAGATTTTACACAGGACGGGTGGTATTCGGTTATGACCACGCTTATTACCTTTCATTTCATTATAGTATAGATCGAATTATTAAATGCGCTTGTATAATGGCGACTGTATGTGTGTCAATCTGCGAAACTGTATCTACATAATGCCAATGAAATTTGTTCCCCTGAGCTCTCGTTTTATGCAGTCGCGATGATTCAACCTTGTTAGACTCCTTTTTGCTTCCCATTTTTAGTCGGTCGAGCTTTGTGCATCGCGAAGTGGTCAGTACTAACGCTCAGCGGCGTAGCTTGCTCCTTAAGGGCCCATATCAACATTTTTAGGGAGGCCCACCAACTGCAGCGAATCTTAAATGGAGGGCAGCATTGAGATTGATTTTACAAAAGAAACAAACGCTTGCATTGACTAATATAAGTTTTCATGTATTCAGCATGGGCGTCCGCAATACATTTTTCTCAGTCTGAGGGATTGGATCATCTGTAAAAAAAACTTTTTGAAGAGCGAGAGGTAGCAATGCTTTTCGGAGGTATGCTAAAATTTTAGAAATTCAGGTATCTGTTTTTTTGTTTTGCGATGTCTACAATACGCAAATCCACATGAGGTCATAGTAGGTAATGCTACTTCTCACTTTCTAAAATGTTTAAGCAGCAGCCTTATGAGTAAAAATTAAAATATCATCCCAAAGTTCTGCTATTGTATGCTGTATATTTTGGAGAAGTTTCAATTTCTAAAAAGTTTGAAAGTTTGATTTAATCGTTCCTTGCTGCTTGAGGTTAGGGCATATCTAAAAACATTATGGAGCTCAAACAGTTTATTTCCTTAGCAAGGCTCATCTTTACTCATGGAAAATTTGAAAATAGGCATAGGTGAATGCTGGTGAAGTACCACCTCACTACTTTCCACTACTTTTTCGATTTTTTTTTATTAAGCCATCCATAGCGGAAGACAATTTTAGTGTTTTGAAATTTTCAGTCTCTGAAGACAGTACCAGGCTTGATAGTCAAAGTTGCCTCATAGTTGTCCTAAGATATTTTAATTACTTTCAGTTTCAAAAAGCTTCTGTCAGCTGTTGCAGTTATAATTTAGAGGGTTGGAAATAGGAACCATGCTACTATCACCTAGTCGTACAATCTAAGGTTTAGCTACATTTTTAAATTAGCGTACGGCCTAAAAACTTGCGTGAGATTGTGAATAACACTTTGAGCATTTATTTCCGTATGTTGGGACTCCTGTAAGGCTGTATATACGGCAGTAGCTATGTCCCTTCTACCGCTCATTTACTCTAGTAATGTGAAGAGCCTGACTGAATTTTTAAATTTTCGGTTCTCAAAAAATATTAGGGATCACGGTGGTTTTGGAAGACTTATCAATGATCTCAAAAGTCACGAGATCCTTCATTAGCTCAGTAAACTAAGGTTATATTTACGTATGTAAGTTAATGCTATTGTGGGACGGAATGAGTAAATCTGGTGGGTTCCTTTTTTTCTAATCTTTGTCTCCAGATTAATACGCATTTGCTTTGCCTTTCGAGCTTTATTGGAAATCACTTGCTATATCGACCATACTCCAACAAGTTTGCACAACTACACAAAGTTAATTATATTATGAAATCCATAAGGGACGACATATAAGGTGCAAGTAAGTGCTCAGATATTCTTATTACATATAGGGTTTGTGCATTTAGCAAACTTAGAGGCAAAGCAGTCTGTGAAAGTTCCATAACATCGTCAAGTTTCCGCCTTCGCACCCTAAGTAAACACTATGTCTTGTGAACTCAATTAACTAGCCAGGTTTCGAACATGTCGTCTGATAGGTTTGAGTGCTTTAATGTTGAGACTTACTATGTTTACAAAATGCCTCAATCCATTTTAACCTAATTCGCACAGATTATAGAAATATTTGAATTTCTTATATGTTCTAAACATGTTTGTGTAGATTGTGAATAAGATTAGAACAAATCTGATGAGAAACATTATATTAATATTATATTTTTTCGCATTATTTTCATTCATATGAATGTTTGAAAACTTGCGTCAATTAGGTTGACTATCCAACTTGCACTATGCGCTCACGTCAGTTCAAAAGGTTAGCAGCTTTGAAAAAAATATGAATGTGTATAATAAAAAATTGAGTGGACCAAGTCAGTCCAACAGGTCCATGCAGTTCGTCTATAGTGTCTACCCGTTGGACAACACTACGACTTAGAGATTTCTCGTATGTTCAACCAACAGTGCCGACCCTCTGGGGAAAGTTGCTATTATAACCTCGCCAAACGCGAGCCACTCATCGGGAAGACTCTGGTGTAGAAACTTCAAAGTTCCTTGCGTTACGTGGGAGGAAAGCGTGCGTTGAAAATATTACAAACAGACCGACCGAAATAAGTGACATAGTTCTCCGTCAAGTAGATCTTGAAATGCTCAAAGTCTACATCGCAATGACGTGAGCAGCAAAAATTGAATTGTTTCCAAACACCATGTTTCGATTAAACCACAAACTCCGCATCTCCCCGTTTGTCCTTCTAGTTAGTTTAGCCCTACTTTCACAAAATATAATTTTATGTTTTCTCTTTTGCTCATTCCAAGTTTGCTTTGTTTTACCGACGGGTAGAACGAGATGTTAATGAAATCTTTCTTTTAAAGTTAATAAAACACGCGCCATGAGCACTTTACCTGTTAGACGCTTCTAATTAAAATTAATTATACTTTGGTATGCCTCTTCCAGTTTTCAAACACCTTTTAATGACGTTTTTAATAACAAAGCTGTGAAAAATGACCATGAAGGTATACAGAGTGTCTAAGAACAACGTATCAACCTCTCGTATACATACAGAACACAAAAAAAAAGATTGCCGCAAGTCCAAGTACATTCAAAATCTCCTGACAGAGCTTCCCACGAAGACCCCGGCCCTCAAAAGCTAAAGTAACTAATTGGCCTCACATGATGATATCCATGGGATGATGCATTTTTTCTACACACCGTGTGAGCTCCTTAAGCTGATAGAGTGCCGTCTTGCTTCATCATCGATATGAATAAAATAAGAAAACACATTTTTAAAAACAAGCTTTTATTTAGCCGTACACAAAACCAACTAAAAATCGAAAAATAGTTTTTAATCTAAATGATAATGAAGCTCCTTCAAGTTTGGGATGAAGGAGCTTTATTATTGTTTAAATATTTCGAATTGGGAAAAATTGTTTTTGGTTTTTGTCATTTTACGAACAGCTAAACGGTTTTTGAGAAAAATACTCTTGTTTCAGCGCATTTCTATTTCTTTTCGAATGGAACCTGTATACTAAAACTATAATTAAAATTGACATGTTTGAACTTTCAGAACACATAGTCAAGTTTTAGATTTTTGTAAGACTTTTTGATAGTGTAAATCGATAAGAACAGTATTGATCAAGACATATAGGACATTTAAAAATATTACTTTTGAGTCACTATTATACAGGGTGTAAAAAGGTTAGCAATATGCAGTTGGCACCGTCTTTCTAGATCTAAGTTTCCTAATTGCATTCTATGAACAGCATCAACTAAAGCCCCAACTGGTTACTAAGCTCTCAAAATCTCTTTGATTCATCATCAAAAATTATTAATGAAAGAGTGATTTCCAGTAGCGTCCTTTAGGGGCCTATATCTAAATCGAAAAGCCTCTTAAAGCAGCTTGTGGAATTATTTCTTTGTGTTCTATGTGAACACGAGAGATTGACATGTTATTTTGGAACACTCTGTATAATAATGGGCAGCAATAGAGAAACTGCCAAAGGCCACACACAAATCTCGATTAATTTTCCTGACCATTTACAACCCATCAAAGAAAAGCTTTTCTCATAAAATATGTGATTAACCTTGCGTACCTTGGAACGCAATATCACAAAACAGGGCTTGACTAAACTTGGAAATTTTAATTTTAATCCGGTGTGGACAAATTGATATATTTTCGTCTTTAATTGCAGAGATTTTTCAGAGAAAAAATGGGTCTTGAGGATTCTGACGAAATTACTGAGTTGACAGGATGTAAGGTGCGTTGTTGTCGCTCTCTGATCAACAGGTGGATCCGAAGTTTTCGGTTTTTTTATTACAAACTCAGCACCACAAAATATATTAATGCGTTACACTCATCAAAATTAATCACTACTGTCGTAGCTAACGGAAAGGAAATTCATTGAATCGATTTTGGAAACAATTAGAGAACTTCCCTAATATTAAATCAAAGTTGAATTGGCCCAAAATAAAAACTGCCAGACACTAATTGTTGTAAATAAACTTTCATAAGAATAAAGAACAACAAATACGTGATGCATCTTTATTTTGGGAATTGAATAGGTACATTATAACTGCAACGATGTCAACGCTTGTAGGTTTAACGCAAGCAAAACTATCTTCTAGAAGTTCACATAACGTTGCTTTCACCAATCTAAGGTTAAACATTGCATAATTTGTGTCAGCTATTTGAAATTCAATTAAGGTATTCAGAGCGGCAGATAAATTATAATTGATTCATGTGGTTTAAGTTATTATAGCTGTTTTGGGAATGAATCCTATTTTATTTGGAAAATGGACCAATTTTCTTATTTTACATAATGACCTTAAAATTGTACGAAAGCCAGGTACTTTCATACCTTATCTTGCTTCTATGTAGCGTTATCCTCGCCTTCTAATAATAGTAGAAAATAGTTCAAAGAATGAAAATTCTATAAAAATTATTCTTCTTTTGAAACACCCTCTGAATCGCATTTTTTTTAAAAGAAAACGCTGGTGCAAAGGAAAAAATATCTGCACAAGTAGATGACTGATGCATGCATACAAAATACTCTTGGGATTTCATTTATTTTTTCCATAATTATATGGGCCTGTGAATAGCCGACGCCCACGTTTACACGTTCAGTATTGAATCCACCATTTACCAGCCAAAATCACCGATTAAATTAATTTTGACCTTGTCTCCACCTGCTGATAAATCATTAACATCCGTATTGAAAATCGTAGTCCTGCAATCTCATGGCTATCAGTGACGTACAAAGGATCCATTCGAACACAATAAACGGCATCCCAAGAGAGATTAAAAATTTTCTGTCAAATATTGCTGACAATCAAGTGTCAGAAGGAGCCTGAAACTATTGTTTGCATCTTGTAGCACATCTTCTTATCCAATAGTTTCTATTTCGCAATAAATGACGCTATCCATACTCACATAAAATAATCGAAGATGGAAACACTTTGTAGTCTATAGACAGATTCTATTTGAAAATAAAAGAGATATACATGTTATGACACCCTACTGGATGAGGCTGAGGTACGAAATATCTTCTCCAATATTATCTGCTTCAACATTAGCTCTGTACTATTTCAAACTAACCAATACAATGTTTTACGCCTATTGCCACAGGAAGTTAAAAGAAATAACTGCTCTACATTGTATATTCGACTAAAGAACAATTTATCACGTATTCATTCTAACGACAAGTTTGTGATTTGCGATTTCCAGAAAAAACTGCCAATAATTTTCTACTGATCACCTTTTCTCATAAAGTGGACTACTTAAGAGGTATTCTCAAAAAGGATAGTTTTAATGAAAAAAAATAGTTTTCGCTTGATATAGTCAAGAGTGTTAACAGTTTTTTGATGGATCAACTGCACCTATTTTGAGAAAACAATGGAAAAGCTCTAATGTGACACCTGTGTGATAAATGATTTCCTTCGAAATTATTTGGCTCTATGGAATTCTTCCTCGGTTAATGGTTTAACCACCTATTTATTTTTATTTTGTTGGAACCATCGACTACTAAATGGGTAAACACATCAAGTGGTGGCGAGGGGCACAGATACGTAAGAGGGTCCCGAAAATTGTTGACCGAAAAGCTGCTACTTGCAGAGATTTGGCAACATTGCTATGATTGCTTTCACCATAGGCGTACCACAAAGATTTGTATCGCAGACATTAATTATGAGAGTCGTAGTATCGGCATCGAATTGATATACAAGAAAATTAAAGCAGCGAATATAATTTTCTCGACGAGTAATTAAAACTATATGATGAAATATATAGCAAAACTATATAATAGGGAGTATAACGTTCAAAATGCGCTATATTTATACTCTGAAAAAGTAGTGTAGCAATCAAAAGGCAAGTAAGAAATATTTACCCAACATACATCCTTGATTTAATGATTGGTCAAGCAAAATGCAATTAAGCATAAAAAGGTGCTGCATTAATTATTAATGAACGCAGTCGGGGGAAATGCAAATGCTTTAAAAACCATGTACATATTGGACTGTAAACAGGACGCTGTGAAAATAGCCTGTATAACGTTGTGCAGAAAAAACAAAGATGTGAAAAATTTGAAATTGTATTTGTATTGATATATATGTCATCAGAATATCCAATTTTATAAATAAATATAATAATATATAATAATTTGTTAACCAAAATATGTATATAGATATAAGGCAAATAAATAATAAATACAAGTGAACATGAACATACAAAAGCGGTCGAATATTTCGGTAAAGTAGATATGAATACATATTAGGGAGATAGGAATATATATCTAATCAATACAAAATGAAATCGTATTAAAAAGATTTGTAAATATTTCTCTGGGTATATACAAAAGCCATATTTTGAATTAATTAAATCACATAAACACAGAATTAAATTTAATGTTGTTTCATCACTACAAGCTTGAGAATTTCAGAATAAGTATTTTTATCTTGATTATTTTTCTGGCGGAGCTACTGCCATCCCGTATGGTTTGGCTACAACTGAACTCTGCTGATTTCCTACATAATATTCCTTTTCCTTCTCTCATCGGTTGAAAGAGAACTGAAAAAAGACAATCATTAGGTGATCCTGCTGATAACATATTAAATATAGGATTTTCTAGTACTTGTTTTTCATAGTGAAACAATTGAAATGTATTGAAAAAAATATGAAAAAATATTTTCCACCCAGGAAACACCGTGAAGAATATTTCCAGACCATCAAAAATGTCATCAAAAATCACAATAACAAAGATTTGTGTAAAACAACAGGTTTTATATCCAAATACACACCTGAAAGTTTCTGAACTGGAGAGATCAAACGCTGCATGCATCTGAATGGATGCAACGTCCCTTTCAGGAGTCTGGACTCGTCTTCTTCATACACTTAATCATTCTCATTGAAGTGCTTTGAGCATATGTCTGCCAATTTTGTGAATTTATGGTCTGGAGTATAACCCTAAGCAGACAACCAACATTGACTTCTTTAAAGGTTATTAGGTATCCTAAAAATAATAACACCAAAGAAGTAATATTTTTAAAAATTGTGTAAAAATTGTCATCAACCTCGTCACATGAATGAGTAGGTTTTGGATCAATTTCGCTCCAATAACGCTAGAATTATTATTATTAGAGATTTCAAATTGACGTTTACATCATAAGAGGTTATCATTAACTGTTACGCATCCGATATTTCTCTATTGTGTTATTAGATAAGATTGAAATACTGCATTGAATAAGCCGCCTTATATAAAATTTTCTTTGATTCACGACCACTCTTGGTTCTCCTCAAAATACATTTATTCCCAAAATGAATCATCATGTAGGGCCATACAGAAAACAACATTCTTAAAGTTAGGCTTCAAAACTTGAAATATAGGACAAAATCAATAGTATAGACCTTTCTATTAATATCATACATATAGTAATTAAACCAGCAGCATTAAAATACCACTTGACGCGGGCAACGGAGTCTTGCAATTCCATGTTGCCAGTGTATACTCACCTGTGAAACGTCAATTGTTCGGCAACGGGCTGGTAATCATACACTTTACACAAATAGCACACTCTAACCATTGTTGATTTTGATAAAAATTACTGAACAAAACAAAAACACCACTAACCGTATTCCAAATGCAAATGAAGTAAGAAAGGCAACGTCGAAATAGCAGAGTTATCTTCCAGGTAGAATGTAGGTGGGTGTGGCCTGCGTACGTCTGGGTACTATGATCGTAGCGGTGTTGCCGGATCAATCTGCAAGTTGACCTGATTGTCATTGGCTTTTCGATATTCGGCAAAATAATGCGCGCTTCATCAACCGCGAAACGCTTGGGGAACGAAATGTGTTTCTTTTATCAATTTCCAGTCGATAATCTACTTCTACTGAATAAACAATGCTGAAACGCTCAAAAGCCTGTTCGAATAAGGCTTTGTCGCAGATATTCGATCAATAATCCAATTCTGGCAACACGGAATTGAAGCTCCGCGATCTTTCGCCGGGTCTAGCTGTGTTTAGTAGGCGATGCTTGGAACAAACCATTCTTAATCATGCCAATCCATCATTTTCTTGAATGTCAACATCTACAGAATGACCTGTAATAATTCATTCTGCTACACCATGTAACCATGAAATCATATAGTCGGATTTTATGCTAAAATATTAGTAACTGTTATCTTTACTCAACCTGCTTAGTGTAGAGCATATTGAAATAAGTATGCCAGGTGATTCTCACGATTGAGTTTTCTGGAACAGTATGAATAAAGGGAGAGCTGAGCATTTAGGTGAAGAAATTGAACACGATTCCGAGGACTTCCCTAATAGTTTTTATTTTTTACTGACTTTATTTGAGACGGGATTTTAAAGTAAAATCAGCATCAACATTGCAAATTTTTCAGGATCAAAAACTCATGCCATCTATAAGAAAAATTAAGTTTGCGATTGAGAACAAGAGACAAGACATTATATTGACATTTTAGTTCTGCCATATTGCATAGGAGAAAAAGTGGAAATGTTAATGTAGTTTTCATTCTGAAGTTATGTCTCAAATAAGGTCAGGAAAAGTTTCTTGGTTACCTAAATATGCAACTGTGCCCTCATCTTCCCGATGTCGTATTTCTTACTGATTAAGGTACCCCACGATGTACCATATATATATTTACGAGTATATATAGATCTTATACTTTTCTCACTATACGTTATACCACTAGTTGTTCCAGCATTTCTTTAATTTGAGAATTTAGACTACGCTACTGGAGTGATACTCATGATACTCATTAATTAAGCATTTTCTGTAGAGAAGTTTGTTACTGAGGCTGAATTTCGATCGATGTGTTGCAGCACCACACCTGGTTTGAGAGATACTCTGATTGTTCTGTTCGATTGGAGTTATCCACCGAATGTGTAGCTAGACACATACTTACCATTCTAACAGAAAGCTTTATGTGTTTCTCTAATCTTAGTTTCGCGTTGTTTCTGAAGTCATAGGAAACAAAAGCGAGATACAAGAGTTATATGACAGTTCCAAGATGACCACAGAATGTTGTCTATAGTGGTCGAGCTGAAAAAGCTAAATGGTGAATTATTCGAGCATCGTGTCGATATTGGATTTTGAAAACTAGATGGCGGAAAAAAAGGTTATATGACGTATACCCTTTCACTGGTGGGAAGAGCGCCTAAAGGTACTCAATTATGTAAAAAAAATAGTACACAGAAATGCTGGAGCGCGTCAGATACTGACTTTGTATATGTACCACATCTTGCTGATATTGGAGATATGATAATACAAATATGCGAGTTTTGTATGCTGGGGGCTGCTATATGAAAGGGTAGAAAATAAAAAAAAAATCAGGCGCATCAGACATTCAGACAGGATGTTCGGTGAGCTCAAAAGAAATGTTTGTTTTAAAAAATTGACGACTCGGACGTATCGTAAGTTCAATATTTTTGAAGAAGCAAAAAATCGGTATTTTGAAATTCTCGAGCGAGTCAGATTATTATACAGACTTTTCAGCTGAATCTCATAATCGAACTCAAATTCCACTTGACAATTGAAATAATCGCATTTTAAACAAAAAATGTCAATAAAATGCACAAAAATTAGCACGCAAATAACAAAATATATATTCAAATAGTAGCAAAAGATACAAACTTTTAGAATATTTTTTTCTGCAACCATCATTTTCAACCGAGGAACTACCCTCGCACAACCAGTAGTTCAATATTATCGTACATCGTTACATGATTTCTTGGGGACTAGCTTGTCAGTATTTCTAACGTGAATATAACAATTTTCTCAAATATATTTTGCCCAAAGAATACAAACCTTGTAGTACCATCACTCATCATCGTATTAGATAGGTGCTAAACTCATAAAAATTGATGTTAGAGCGGCCATTGACGTGGCGTCAAAAACTAGTGCGAGATGTAAGAACTAGGGAAAAGTGGAAGGGAACGAGAAGCGCAAAGAAAGAAATACAGGCTCTACTGCAGCTGCATGCACTAAGATTTATTTGCGGACTTTTCCTATTTCGGCTTGTTGGAATCGGCAGATTATGAATTATCTTATCTATTCTTGACTTTTTTCTTCAAAATAAAAAAAATATCGCGTTCCATAATGCCAAGATGATGTATTTTTTCAAGTTTACGCCACACTTGAATTATCAGATTATTGAATTGCACACTTTTTGGCATGCAATTTACCCACCTTATCTTATCCGACACACTCCTATCCATCGTAGAGGCTTGCGGCAAAAATAGTTATTACTAAATGGCCGCTTGGGGACGAACCTGCAAACTTGAATCTAAGAAAGTGATGTTTCTATGAATTCCGCAGATACAGTGGTGGGGGGTATTACAAGGTTTCCGTAAAGAACACCCTGTATCTTCGAAACGGCTGTGCCGATCTTAATAAACTTGGGCTAGATAAAAAAAAACTGTTCTTGTGCTACAAATGTTGTAATATTTGTTAGTTTCCACATGTGGCCGCTAGAGGAGTTTTTACGGCATTCTGACAGAAATGGTTAATTTTCCCACAAAAATTAAATGCATTGATATGATGTTATGAAGAAGTAGCTAAATGATGTCTAAAGATGTGAGAACTTCCCAGATACTATACCTCGCGTTCTTAGTCGGGCACCCTGCACATGGCCTGCCTATAACTTGGAAAGTACCGCTCGGATTTTGATGAAATTTGAAAATGAGAAAAATTAAAATTTCTCGATCGTTTTTTCACGTTTCAGCGGCAATCTTTTAGGGAAGAGTTGTTGGTAAAAAATTGGTGGTTGGAGGGGTATGTATCAATTTTTCGACAGCAGCATACTAATACGCGCTAACCCCCGAAAATTCTACGCACCTATTAGTGGAGGGGAGGGGCTATGCGTAATGGTATTTACAGGGTAGCTAATTAATTAAAGAGAGTTGGGAGGGGGGTAGAAATGGGTAAACGCGAGCGAAACGCTGAAGCTTATTCATATGCAGGGCGGAATGAAAATGATGGGAGACGGGATTCATCAAACACATGTCAACATCCCAAAATAAAAAATTAACTTTTCTAGTACCATGACTGGCGCTTATGGTTGACTGCAGTGGATCAGCATCAGAAGGTCTATACTTTTGGTAGGGCAGAGCAGAGCAGAAATTAAATTTAAAGCGTTATCAAAAGGGCGAGGACTATTTACTAATTGTTTTCCTCAAAGGGGCTAACCTGTGCCGCTTATGATCTTTTATGAATTAACTGATGGCAGCATTGCATGGGAAGTGCAGGCTGAGCCTAAATGATGATTTTTTTACTATCCTGATCATCTACCCTATATAAAGGGCTCACATATATGGTAGATGTACTCACCACGAAAGTTATCCTTTCTTATGTTTATCTTCAGCGCTTGAGTAAATCCCAACTACTATAATGCTTATTCAAAGATACATGGTAAAAATGAGATCACCTAGTCCCATTTTCTTCTTAGAGTCCACCTCTAAAAGCCTGCGTTTTCCAGCTTTCACATTTCTATATTCCTAGTCTTCATTCGTATGCTTTCCATTTTAGGTGTGGCCTTCCTCTTTTTTGGTTTCGTAGTCCAATTTCAATTTCCTTAAAATATTTATTGTAACCCAAATTAGAAGCGTACGGCACTGGATTTCGTCTAAGAGGCGAATTTACACTTCTCCAACAGAAGATGTTAAGGATTTGAGAAATCTGATAATTTATTGATCTAAAAACGATTTTGGGGCTATTGAAAGACACTCTGCAGACAATAAGATGAAGATTGAATTCTAGCAGACCGTCATGATGAGTAGTTCTGGTATAAATTAACAAGCTTAGCAGATATTTTTTGTTAATTGAATTTTGATAATGTCGGAAAGCTTCATCAAAGGATGCAATGTTCTTAAAGTATTCGACCCTTTTAATTTTTTGCTGCATCTTCAGGAAACTCAAATCATACAGTATGATAAAACTAGTCCGAAAATTTTAGAAATTGTGGATTAGCGTGTGAGTCAACACTGACTAGC